CTGATCTTGGGATTGCTGCTGCTCACACTGCACATCACGGTTCGGCGCGGTTCCGGAGCCGCCGACGGGTCCAACGCGGCCACGAGCAACGCCAGCCTGGCCCAGCTGCAGGTGAGTGAGCGCGGGAGCCGGGTGCTTGCAGGGGGCCGGGTGCCTGCGAGGAGGCGGGTCCTCCGCCACACTCGCAGCAACAGTTGGGGCGTCTGTTCTGCCCGGGAAACTCTGCTTAGGCCGAGACCGAATACGAGTCTGTGCCAGAAGCCTGGACCCGGCTCCTAGGTCTCCCCGGCTCACACTCCAGATGTGTCACAGGCGTGGGATGCGCGGAGGAAGTGTGGAGTGTCTATTTGCTTTCGGGTGCAGCAAGTCTTTGGCTGCCCCTTAGAGGCTGAATAAGACAAGGAGGACAGAGGTGGGGGGATCCTTATAAGATGATGTCCCCAAAGTCCAACACCGGGAGAAAGAACTACTGAGTGCCTACCCCGTCAGAAAGGAATATCAAAGGTCAGGACAGAATTTCCAGAGGAGACTAGCCGGAACCACCACCTCGCCGTGCCTTCTGGGCCCCTCCAAGGCCTCCCTGGACACCCCTTGGTACCCTATTGGCCGTGGGGAGAACGCAGAGTCAAGGCACCTGCCGTGACTGGCGCGGGGTTATCTGAGGCTTTTAAACCTACAGCTGAGACTGAAGTGGGTCTTGGCCCCTCGAAGATCACCTGGCATCGGATGCTGTTGACCTGTTTCAGCTTCAAGGCAGGAGAGGAGTGGAGACTGGGGCGGGCTCAGCTGATGCAAGGTCAGGCAGGTGCAAGGTAAACGTGGGCGTCTGAGTAAAGACTGCAAAGGCTGGGCTTTCCTGCCGCTGTCTTGGAAAGTGCTTCTCCTCGGGTCAAGGGATGTACCTTGAGGAACGGATAAACAGCGATTTTTCAAGGAGGTGGCACAGATTGTCAGGCTCCCAAACCCTCTTCTTCAAACCAAATTCTGCATTTTGCGGTGTCTTGATAACCATTACTCATTGTCCCTAAAGGGATCATAGTCTTTCTCTAATTTTATTTTTTTTAAATCTCTGTGCAACTTGTTGCAGAAAAAGAAACTTTAATGTTGAGGAAAGAAGAATTCACTGAAACAGTCCTATTAACACTTACCTACTGTATGCTGTTTTAAGTGCTTTCCTGACTTTGACTAATTTAATTTCATTATAACCCTGTGAAGCATAATATTGTTAATATCCCCCCTTTACAGTTTCCACAAATGAGGGGCAGAAAGATTAAGAAACTTACCAGAGTTCACACATTCCCAGCTGTTGATTGTTTACACCAAGTTTTGTGTCCATCTGGGCATTGTAAATTAATTCAAGGGGATTCTTACATACAAATAGGAAACTGGGCATGGAAAAGTGTATACATCAAAGCTTAAAGTTTGGGACATTTTAAAAAGCATCCTGACTTCCTGAAGGGCTCTTATCCCATGGGTAAAGAAGTGCAGTGACAGCCTGGTGGACTTCCTGTTCTGTAGAGGGTGATACATCCACCAGCCTATGCTTTAGGAATAATTCTTAATATCTTCAAGATTTTTGGAAGTGCTATTTTATGTGTGATGCTTTCTTTACACATGGACTCATGAAACACTCTAAAAATGATGTTCTGTGGAAAAGTAAATTTGGCAGATTTCTTTATGAGGTGTTTGCTATCATTAGAATAACCTGGAGTTGGCCTTTTCTGCCCCAACAGTAAGGTAATGAGAGAAGCAGCTGGGGGAAGTGGCAACTCTAAAAGGGAAGTGGATCAGATTCTCAAAAGGAACTTTGGCTGAAGAAATGACCCAAGAGGGCAGAAGAAGTGGAGGCTTTAGAAAGACTAATGGTCCCAGGAATGTCCAGAGCATAAAGAGCTGCTAATCCACCAGCTTCAGCTTATTTCGTTCTGGAGCTGAGTTGTGCTGTTCATTCAAAGCACACTCAAATCCAAGGAGAAGGATGAATTTAACAGGTTAGCTCCTACTTTTGCTCTTTTCTTGTAATTTGCCTTTGTAAAAGCTCTGTATTCTTTCGGACCAAAGTTATTTCTTTGGCCCTCTGATTCTTCAAAAGCATTACAGTTCAAATGGACACAGTATGTTCTGCCAATTGAGGTCGGCAAAAGACGTTATTAGGGTGCTGCTTTCAGGCCCCAAAAAGTGAACTTGCTAGTAGCAGGTGTATTGTAAAACAAAACTGTAGATACTGAATTCTTTCTTTTTATCAGACATTTTTAATCTCAAGTACACCCATGTAAATTTGTTGGCTCTGTGATATCTAAGTTGCTAAAATCCTTCATAAGTTATTCAGTCTTTACATACTGTGTCTATTGCTGCCTCTGTTCATATGATGCTGGCTTAGTTGGAAACACACAATGATGAATTTACCACATTGTAGCACTTTAAAAATAATAATTTATAAAGAGACATGGCTTTCAGATTTGGTGGTCAGAACATATCAAGGACAGCCACTAAAACAGTAGCAAAAATAACAACAATAGATTTTTGTGGTAAGCACTGTTCTTAGCCTTTTGCATACTTTAACTTCCTTATCCTCAAAAATATCCCACAAGTTAAGTACTATTTCTGTCATTATTAAGTCATTATTCCTGTTTTAATTGAAAAAACTGATATTAGGTAACTTACCCAAAGGTGGTAGAGCTGGAACTCTTTAATTTGCTTTTGTTATTTTATAGTACAAAAATGTACCCTACATATTTTATTTAATATATTCCCAATTCTATAGCCCCATTCTGAGCTCACTGTAAACTCATAATACTGGCTACAAAAGAGAAGAATTTTTTTAAACAAGTTACCTTTCCAAACAAGTCTTGACAATCTTCCTGAGTCAAATCCGAATATGTATTTGTATATGTATGTAGAGACATATACATACATGTATAGACATATAGATCATATACACACATAGATACACACATAGGTAAACATTACTGACAGTTTTTTTGGTTTTTTTTTTTTTGTAGTTTCAGCACACTAGGGGATACAAGTTTGAATCTGTAGATGAATGACCATGTATTGTAAGTGTGCTTTTTATTATAAAGTGGCAATAAAATGCTTTGAATGTACAATCTGTATTAGTTAACAGCTCATGAAAATAATGGTATTAGTTTCCTATGGTAGCTTCATAAAAATACATGGAAACATCAATTTTAGTAGTTAATTTCAGAATCATGAATTTTAGTAAACTAGAGCTTATTTAAGGCAGTAAGACTTAAGCAAGTATTATAAAATGCCAAAATGATTATTTTACAATAATATTAAAGCAAACCAAACTCTAAAATGTGGTAAAATGACTTTGTCCTAGACCTCCTAGCCACTATCTTTAAAAACCGTTTCCTTCTTTTGGCAGTATTTCAGAGTTAACCCAAGGCTTTCACACTGAATGTACATCCCCAGGCTTTTAAAAAAATTTTTTGAGACATCTCACCAAATCACTAAGTTGCCCAGGCTGGCCTTGAACTGGCAGTCCTCCTCCCTCAACAACCCAGAGAGCTGGGAATTAGAGGAGTGCACCACCATGCCCAGTTTTCTACCCTCTCTTTTATCCATCTGTTACCTTCAGCAATAATTTAGCTGAAGCCTGGAGTTAGCAACACATCTCTAATCCCAGCACTCCAGCAGGCTGAGGAAGGAGGATCACCAGTTCTGTCCCAGTCTGGGCAATTTAGAGACTTAGCAAGATCATGTAAAAAAAAGTGTGTGTGTGTGTGTGTGTGTGTGTGTGTGTGTGTGTGTGTGGTAGGGGAAAGTAGCTCAGTGCAAAGACCCTGGGTTCAATCCCCAGTACTGAATACAAACAACAAAAAAGTTTAGCTTTTTGTAGTCAATGCTTCATCTAGGCATATAGGGCAATAGAAATGAAAGCAACATCTGTCTATTTTGTACAAGTGTGCTTCCCCACACCAACCAAAAGGAATAGATAGCTTTTATACAAAGTGTGCCCACTTTATGAATTTCAAGGCCTCTAGTATGTGCCTGAAATTCTAGCTAGCACCAAATTGCAAAAATGCTATATTTTTTCCAATATATGCAGATGTATCATAAGGTTTAATTTATAAATTACCCATGGTAAGAGATTAATAACAATAACAATAAAATGGAACAGTTATAACAATATGCAATAATTAGAGATTAATCATACTACTTAGTACGGTGTACAATTTAAAATTTATGGATTATTTATTTCTGAATTTTCAATTTAATATTTTCAGACCATACTTGATCAATGGTAATTAAAACCTCAGAAAGTGAAACTAAAGATAAAAGAGAACTGCTGTACCCCATTTCACACATAAGGAAATTGAGGATTGAAGAGATTTAAGTAATTTGTCCAAAACTACACAGCTGCAGTAGGGTAGGGGCAGGACTGAGCCCAGATAGTCCGACAGAGGAGCCCTTTCTATCTGAAGTCCTGCATTTGTCTTAGTCTTGGAGAAATTTCTTTAGTTATTTCTCTATATACAATGTCCACACGCTCTACTCTACAATTCCTATTAGAGTTGGAAACTCATGTTGAGATTTCAAGGTCTGTCTTCCATGTCTTATAATTTTTGCTGTCATTCTTTAATCTCCATATTTTAAGAGTATGATTTTATGTCTTGGCTCAGTATTCTGTCTAGCTAGGAGTATCATAACTGAGCTTTCAGGGTAAATATCAGGTGAAGATAACAGATATGGCCAATCTGAAGCCCGGGGCTTCCTGAAGTAGTTCTTTCACTTTTGTTAGTTTTCTGCCCTCAGCCTTTTCTTCCTCCCAGCTTCTATGCCCTCTTCTCTTCTCCTTCTTTTCTCCATTTTCTTTTCTTTAACTTCCTTTTCTATTTTTCTCTTCTTTTACCTCCCCCTAACATTCTAAGTTTTAATTTTAAAAAATCCATAGTTTATATATAATATAGTGGATGAATCCTAAAGACTTGGTTCTATTTTTGACACTTTGTTTGCATTTTTCTGTGTGTCTGACTTCTTTCACTCAACATAATGTAATTGAGATTCCTTTGTGTTGTTATGGCTATCAGTAAATTTCTTCTTATTGCTGAGTGACATACCATTGTATTATACTGTCCATTTACCAT